TTTTGCCTTTAGTTTTAGAGCATATATTAAAAAGACTTTCAGAATACCTGGGTTATTCTTTTCCTGCTTCAGTGTCATTTTGTAATTTAAAAAACTGACTTTCTGGGGTAGTTCTGTTAGTAATTATTTTTGGGTTTTCCCATACTTGTTGATTTTACTTATCATTTCCAATTTTTGGAATGCAGAATTATACTTACTTAAATGAGAAGTTAAGTTAGAACTGCAAGAAAATAATAAGGAGTGTGGGGAAGAATGAATGGATAGCTATTTTGATAAATAAGGTTTAAGGTTTACGTGGTCTAATCAGTTTTAGTTACATGCACTGTATGTATATACACAATATACACTATGCTCCACTTTATTTTTTCACATATATTTTATCTTAGAGATTGTTCCTTGTCAGTACTAGAAATCTTTCTGATTCTTTATAAGAGCTGCATGGCATTCCGTTTCATGGATGTATCATATATACCAGTCTCTGTTGATGGGCATTGGGTCTTTTTTCAGTCTTCTGCTACTAAGAAGTTGAAGTGATTATCTTTTTACATATACTGTTGTGCACATATGTGATTAGATAAGATTACTTTTAAATTGAAAAGGGAACTACTAAATCCTGTTTTGGGGAGGGGGGGCAGATTAGTAGTTCGGTGTTAAAAGCTCTTATGTAAATAGCTAATTTTTTAAATCTTTGAATTATAAATTACCAATTTCAGAATTATAATCTGATTGAAACAGTACATTTAAATATTTTAATTTTTCATAAAACTAATTACTACTATAATTCACAGGAAAATTACTGGTTACCCATCTGCTTTACTTAAAACCCTGTCATAACTATTACGACTGACAGTTTTGACTTAGTCATTTGTGGTATGAAGAAAAGGAAATGAAAACACATTCACACCTTAGAACAAAGTCAACTTTTTTGGTTGGCTATTCACCACAGTTTATAAAGACTAAATAAACCTAGCAAGATGTACGTGTACTTTGGGTGTGTTTAGTAATTAACTAAGTGTATCTTAAATCTTTGAGCTACTATCCACGTAAGGCTGGAGATAATTATTTTACCATTTCAAGTATTAGCTAGAATAATTAACATAGTATCATATATTTAGGTTGTAGATTATTGAGTCCTATTCTATTTCTCCTGATGAGTTTGCATTTTGATTGCCTCTTTTGTACCCATGCTATAATGGGTGTAGGGACATGAAGAGGAAGTAAAAGTTATGACCTCATATGATGGGTATTTTTGCCCTCAGATGACATTATTGGTTTTTATACCTAGCTCCTAAAGTCTTTTATGTGAATTAATTGTACTTTGCTGATGATACAAAATTTGTAAACAAAATTTAAATTTCTTAAGCTCATGAGTAACTTCTGCTGTGTTCCATTTTGCACAGTGCCCGGTAGCCTAGCCAAGGATTTTATGCCTCCTAGTAGTTCTCGTCAGATCAGGAGCTGGAAGAATGAGGCCTACTTTTGACCAAACATAGCTCAGAAAGAATTGGTATTAGCCATTTGATAGGAAATTTTTGGGGGGGAGGCAGCTTTGGAATCTCTCTGCAATCAACATGGAGCTTCAGATTTTTTCAGGTAACAAAAGACTGCACATGGATTCTATTTTAGTGATAAAAATCAAATTGTTTAAGTAGGAAATTTAATGGGAAATACTACATCCATAAAAATTAGCATATGTTTTTTGATTATACATGCTCTTTCTCTTATCTACTATTATTTATAGAATTAAATTTAATAAATTTGTTTTTAACAGAAGGTATTCATTAAAATACTTGGGATTTGATTTCCAAGAAAATATCAGGGAACAAAAAAAAAGAAGAAAAAAAATAGCCTTAAAAAAATTACTAATTTCAGAGAGAAAGAGGAACACTGATTTGTTGTTCCACTTATTTATGCATTCATTGGTTGCTTCTTGTACATGCCTAGACCAGAATTGTTGCACAACCTTGGTGTATCAGGATGATGCTCTAACCAACTGAGCTACCCAGCAACAGCCTGACCTTTGGTTTTTATGTGTTACTTTTTATAGCATATTCAAGGCTGTAGTATATTTAGAATTGACCATTTATTTTTGCCTACTAAATGGTAAAAGAAAAGTATTGGTGATTACCAAATTTTTCTGGAAGATATTGCTGTTACTTTCTTTAACACTGTAGTGAATAAAGCTAAATACAAGCTTTCAGAGCTGTATCATTAATACATGTTAAATTAAGCAGGACTTAATCTAATGTTGAAATCATTTATCTTCTTTAAAGCTTTCTGTCTACTGATTCCCATGTATTCTTTCTTATACCTTCCAAATTTCTTTATTCTACTTTCTGATGTTTTTCTATTATTATTGAGCTTTTGTTTTACAAGTTCTTTCAGTGTCCTCTGATATTTTTCTAACTTATTTTAAAATAACTTATTTATAATTATATAATATTGCTGTAATTCTAAGGTTCCACAGTGAGCTTTCCAGTAGTTAGCATTCTGGTATAGCTTGGCTTCTCTGATATCCACATTAGCAAAAGAACCAGGAAAACATACTAAGGCTTTCCTGGCAGTAAAGTAGTAGTTCCTAAGCATTGAACAAAATAGCGATATAGTCAGAAGAGCCGAAGACCTGAAGGTTTATCCAACACTACTTTACTGGTTTGTCACACTGAAGGAAAGGAGTACTCAGATTGGCTGGTGATGTCTCATAGACCTTTCTTTTTGTGTGAAAGCTGGAAAGTGGGAGAAGAGATAAGAAAGGAGAAAACCAACAGGGAGAAAAGGGACTACAGCAATCTTTGGTATCAGTGCAGGTATGGTTATTAGATATAGCAACAAGATCCTTAAGTAGCCCATATCAGTGATAAAGAGATCGACTGTTTTCTCATTAGCCAAAAATTAATTTGATACCATGGAAGGTATCATCTCTAATGGGTGAAGGTAAAATGACATTGCCCATAGTAGAGGATTAGGGAAAGGACACATAGCCACTATGGTCAAGTTTGGGGAATCTTATGTGAAAGATCAATGGATATAGAAGGAAGTAGAATGTGGGAGATAGGTACAAATGGGTCCCTCTCAGTACCTCCTTGGGGAACCACTGAAGATATATCGGTGTATGTCAGTGTTTTAGGGCTTTAAAGGTACAGTACAGTGAAAGCAGTGTCCTGTACTTCACAAAATCTGTAAGATTTATTATCTGCTATTATATGATTGCTTACTAGTGAGGACTATAACATTAAAGAAAAATGTTCAGTTATGTTTTCTAACACATTACCTTGTTAGTATGGTTGGACCTCTCTGATTATTTTAATCTTTCTCTTTTTCTTTAGTTTTATAATTGAAGGAAAACATTCTTTGAAAAATTCTTTATTCTCTGTTAAAGATGTTGAGAAAGTATATGGGACATGTTAGACTTGCATTAAAAGTAATTTTTTTTTTACAGATTTTATATTTAGAGAAGGAAAAGGAGGGAGAAAGGGAGAGACATCAATGTGTAGTTTCCTCTTGCATGCCCCAACCAGGGGACCTGACTCGCAACCCAGGCATGTGCCCTGACTGGGAATCTAACCAGCGACCCTTTGGTTCATAGGCCAGCACTCAATCCACTGAGCCACACCAGCTAGGGCCATTAAAAAAGTAATTTAAAAAAAGAATGTCAGATGTTGAAAGGGCTCATCCTCAGATAGCTGGAAAACCTTACTTTGCAAAATTTCTCAGTAGAGTGATCTTTTTGTATTCTTTCCTCTCTTGGGTAGAGTTCATTGTCTTCCACTGAGCTGTGTGTTACTTTTCAGCACATAGATTTGCCATGTGGTGTGGAGTGGGTTGAATTTGGCACCAGAGGAAGATCTGTATCTAAGAAGGATATCTTTTGTTTTGGCCCAGGTCAAATTTCCTGTCTCTCTTAAGCATTTCTTGGGTGCTGAAGTGTTGTATATTGATGGGATAGGCATAGGTAGTCAGTTTAACATTATGGACTTTTTAACTCCCCCTTAGAAAATTAGTGATTATTTTTGTAGGAAAAAGTATGTTAACCCAAAATAGAGGCTTATTGTGACTATATAAACTTTGAGTTGAAACAGGTCAACAAAGTATTATGGTCCTCTTAAGGATATTGTGACTTGCAATTGGGACCCTTTTGATCAAGTACTTTTTTTAGAGTTAATGCTTATTATAAAACATTGCTTTACTTTTATTTTCATGAAATAAGTGAACTGATTTTACAATGGGGGGAACAGTGAGATTATCTGTTCCTCTTGAGGAGAAATGAGAATAGTTAAGAGCATGCATAATCAATATGCAGTCAAATAGAGAACTTTATACACATTATATAGTTTATTTTTGTTGGTATTAAATTAGTCTGATTTCCTGCAAAATTATAGATATGTACTTGAGTTTTATGAGAATTTGCATAAAGATTTATTGTCTGCTCTACTTCATACGCACTAAGATTTATTGTCTACTATACTTCATATGCACTGAGCACCGGTGATATAGACCTGAATCCATCAATTCCTATCCCAAGTAACTTCCATAGCTACCAAAGCATTTTTGTTTGCAATTTAAATCTACTGTAATAAAAAAAACTTTAAAAATGGATATGCAATCTGATTAAACAAAATAATTAATCACGGTAAACTTGATGTAATAACAGTTAAAGTGTCAGGGATTAAATTAAATTTGTATAGGTAACATTAGCACTTCTGGTTTCCCGTTTCATTATTTAATATACTCAAAAACTCTGGAACTTTGACCAGAGGTTGATGATGGTTTTCAACCTAATTGTCTTCATATTTTCTCAAAGAGAACTTATAATTGCTTTTTTAATGTAATTATTGTTCTATTTCTCTTACTGAATTAAAACTAGTTGGGAATTATAAAAAATAAGTTTGTTAAATTACATTAATGGACTTATAGCTATCCTATGTGTGAAGAATTCTTATCAAATGGATGCTCTTTAATTTTATTCAACTCCTTCTCATTTCCCCCTTTTGTTTTCAAAGAGAAACTGGTAGTCTGGGTAGATTGAAGACATCTTTAAGAGAAAATGTCTTGGGGAGCCCCAAAGAACTTATGAAGTTAAGTGTGCCCTCATTAGTGTATGCTATTCAGAACAACATGGCTTTCCTCGCTCTTAGCAATCTGGATGCAGCAGTGTACCAGGTGAGTGAAATAAATGATAATGAAAAGACCAAAATCTTAAAAAATGTTTTTTTATGGTGAAATTATTTTTATTAACCCTTTATCACATCAAATGTTTTGCTCGATAATCCTATTAATGGTATCAGAAATAGTTGTGTCAGAGACTAATGTTAACGAATTTCATTAATTTATTATTTTGTTTCTAGGTGACGTACCAGCTGAAGATTCCCTGTACTGCTTTATGTACTGTTTTAATGTTAAACCGGACACTCAGTAAATTACAGTGGATTTCAGTTTTTATGCTGTGTGGTGGAGTTACACTTGTACAGTGGAAACCAGCCCAAGCTACGAAAGTCATGGTAAGAAACAAAATGCTTACCGTAACTAAAATAGGAAACTCCCTATGTCTTAAACACTTTGGTCACATTGATGAATGTAGCACAAGTATGTGTCTTTGATTGAAAATAAATTTTGCCCTATAGATAGGTTTTTAAAATCACCTTAGGATATAATATTAAAGGTAATGTAACTTGTTGGCTTCCTTTCTTTTTAGAGGGGATTATGCATAAAAAATATTAGATGAGAGGTATGTTAATGCTATCCATCCCCTTCAATTTATGGATTATGAAATTGAAGTCCAGAGAGGTGAAGTAACTTGTCCAAAGTTACAGTTAATAGCTAACCTGTGACTAAAATTGTGACTTCTATGCAATGTGTGTATGTTCAGAACTTCCAGGCATCTTTTAGACATTTTCTCAGAAACACTGGGCAAGGTTATGTCCATCTAGTTTTTACCCCTCCCCTCAACTCATGAAGTTTTTTAATCCTTTTGCATACATTCCCACTGTCAGTGACAGGGATTACAGGGGAGTAGTATTTTTACTGATAATTGATAATTGAAATAGGGCAAAAAGTATACTTATAACTTTTAGTTTGATAAGAATTAAATGTTAAGGTACATACCTGACTTTAAAAAAACATTATATGCTTTAATCAGTTATTTTCCTAAAGAGCAGTAGGAAGTGGAACTCTAGTGGATGACTTTCTGAAAGTTACTAGTTTCCTTCTACAACTGAAGACTGTTTTCAACTTTTAGTAAATGAAAGTTCTTACAGGAGTATAAAGTGTCTGGGGATGTAAGGAGAGGTTGTGAAAATAGGAAGTCATGTTCCTTTTTATTACAGGTAGTTTACTTTCTAGCCTAGTGGAGATTTTTCCCCCAGAAAAAGGAATTTTCGATGAATATTTATTATCTTCATCTGTTTAAACATGCTTATACTCCTGGTGACATTTCAAAAAAACTGATCAAATATGCATTACACATTTAACTCAGTTTTAGGCTTACAGAAAAATAATTTGTTGGGAAGTAAGGCCACTATGTAATTAAAAGTTAAATGTGAACTTTAAGTGACATCAGGTTGTATAAGAATTTTTTTTTTTCCTGTAAGATGACTCTAGTAGTGCTTTGTTGTCTTTTAACTTCATGTGAAACAATTTTGTTAGACTGTATTATGACAGGTGTCATATCAATGTGCATTTAAAAAAACAATCAAAATTGGTGAATTTTTGTGTAGCCATTTTAATATTGAAGATGGAAGAAAATATGCAACATTTTTGGCATGTTATGTTTTGTTATTTCAAGAAAGGTAAAAATGCAACTGAGACATGCAAAAAAGATTTGCACAGTGTATGGAGAACGTGTTGTGACTGATTGAATGTGTTAAAACTCCACGGTGGGGTAGGCCAGTTGAAGCTGATAGCAATCATTGATTTTCAACTGGTGTGCTGTGGCAGGTACACTGGTGTGCCACAAGAATTTTTAAAACATGCAAAACCTAACTATTTAGTTGGGGCACCTTAGACTGTCAAATAAAAAAATGACAACAGCCGACACAAGAATAGCTGTCCAGTGTTAATGAATCAAAATTATGTTTTTTGTCAGACGGGCAAAAAATGTATTTTTGGTGAGTTGCAGAATTTTGGTAATTATTTTGTGTGTGCCGTGATATAAAAAAGGTTGAAAATCATTGCTCTAGAAAGTTCTTTCATACTTTAAACAGAGTTTGGTTTCCTGTAACTGACTTTTGTCCTTTGTTCTTGTCAGAATGACTCAGATTCCTATAAATTCCCATATATCCTCTGAATGTTTGAGGACAGTGTCACATCTCTACTTTCCAAGTCCTTTTATCCTCTTTGAGACAACCTGGTAGTTTCATCTATATGGTTTCCAGAGACTTTCCGATCTCTGCCCCTTACCCCAGTACTTTGCTGTATTTCTCTTCTAGATGTATTCCACATTATCTATAGATGTTGACTGAGCAGTATAAGGGATAGCTAGCTAATAACCTCGTTTGTCCTAAATACAAGAGACTTGTTAAATCAGCATAAGATTATATTTGTTTTTTGGAGGGAGGGGAAGATATCGATTTTTATAATTTATTATACACAACCACATACAGCTGTTTCACACAAACACCGTTTACTTCAAATGTGTCCTGTGCAGTGGGCTTCTTCTAAACTAAAATGCAGGATGTGTTTGTATTTATTAAGCTTATTTTAGCTTTGGGTCATTGTTCAGGCCTTTTGAGATCTTTCTAGTCCTTATCCATTATTAACTTTTTCTCTGAGTATTATACTTTCTACAGATTTGACAAATATGTCTTTTGGGTTGTCACTGAAAATTTTAGGACTGGGCCAGAGTTTTGTGGCTATACCATTAGACTCTGATTAGCTTGACATTTTCTTGTTGTTGTTGTTTAAGAAACATTTATTCTGTTTTATGGGTCAGGTATTTGAGGGTGCCTTAACTAGGTACTTTTCTGGCTTGAGCTCTCTTAAAGGGAGCTGTGAAGGTGTTGTGTAGGGCTGCAGTCAACTGAAGGCCTGACTGAGCCTACAAGGATATTTCTAAGGTGGCTCAGTTCATATGGTTTTGGTTCTTCGTTTAGCTTGATTTTCCCATGTGAGCATTCACTCAGCTATGAATAGAATTGTACTGTTATCCTCACTAAATTTCTGTCTCATATACAAAAATATTATGCAAATCCATCAAATTTCTTGCTAAACATTATGAAATTCCTCTCATCACTTATACTAGAAACCCTTTCAATAAGGAAATTTGGTATGTCTCACTCTTAGGGAAGCCATATTGTTCTCTAGTGATGACCATTTAACTTTGTAAGTTCTTTAAGTCATCTGTTCAACCATTTTGCTAGCAATCAATAACAACAGTAATGGCTGTAATCAATTATACAGCAGTAAATACCAGTAATGTTCTAAGTGTTTTACATTTAACTCAGTTATGCCTACAAGCATGGGAAGTTGGTTATTGTTTTTTTTTAAATTTTTGTTTATTGATTTTAGAGAAAGAGAAACATTGATTTGTTGTTCCACTTATTTATGCATTTATTGGTTGATTCTTGTATGTGCCCTGACTGGGGATGGAACCTGCAACCTTGGCGTATCGCGGTGACACTCTAACCAACTGAGCACCCGGCCAGGGCTGAAGCTAGTATTTTTATTTCCATTTCAGATGAGGAAACTGATAGACAAAGTTGATTAGTCATGTGTCCGCAGTCACGTTGCTTGAATCCAGGCAGTGTGACTCCAGAGCCTGTGCTCTTGGTAACTGTCCTGGGCTCTTTACCAATTGCAAGCAGCATCTATATTTTATTTAGCTTTTATTCCCCTCTCCCTTTTGGAAAGAGTACAGTATTTGCCCAATTCAGGTTTTCTGGCATGCTCCCATTCTCCATTATTCCTCAAAGACATAGTTATCAGTATGATTTGCTACTGTTTGTGGTCAGGATACTTTTGAATTTGTTTTAGTTAGCTAGGTATTTTCATAACAGCAAACCAAATGTATTGGACTTCAGTTTCCTTTTAGATATGTTTATTATTATTTAAAATTATTATTCACAGAGAAACGGAAAATAGATTTGGGTACCTGTTTTCTTGCCATCTAATAGTATAGTATCTACCCTAAGAAATATAGTCTTTTCTTCCTGAACTAAACATACTTTTAAAAGCCTTTTAATATTTCAATTTATTTTCGTAAATCTCTGCTTATTCTGAGTTTTCAGTTTCTTGATACTAAAATTCTGTTAACATTCCTCTTGGTTATGTGCACTGCAACTCTTGTATGCTCTTGTAAAATCAGAATTCACTGAAGATGCTCTTAATTAGTAACAATGATTTCTTTATTATTATAATTTTTTTTTACTCATCAGAATCTCATTCTTCAGAACCTCTTATCCCTCTTAAACCATCTTCCCATTAGCTATGGAATGCTAACTTGAAATTTTACTTTTTTGAATTTTGATTTAAGACTAGCACTTATGTCTCTTAACTGTGCTTTGTTTGGCTGTTACTCATGCTAAAATGACATGGTGGCTGTTCTCCAAAATTTCCATTATTTCTACTTCATCACCTGGAAGTTTCTTATTAGTTAGAATTAAATTCTGGGGAAGCCATGTCTATAACTGTTTTTCCTAACTGTAGAGAGATTGAACTGGCAGAAAAGCAAGCCAAGAATTTGTCACATACTATTTTTAGTAATGTGATCTTCCTAGCAGTTTTTGGGAAAGGTGAAATCCCACACCATTATTTTTCTCCTTCCTATGCCAGCCCTGTACTTTGTATTAGGAAAGCATTCATGTTTATTAGTTGTAGTCTATAGCAATGGTTCTCAGACTTTAGAGTCACCATCAGAATCAACTGGAAGGTTAAATGGATTTTTGGGCCCCAACCCCGTAGTTTGATTAAGTAGGTCTGGGGGTGGGATATGTCAGTGCTCATTTCTAACAAGTTCACAGGTAATGATGTTGCTGTTGATCCAGGGACCAACAGTCCATAATATCTTCTACTTCTCCTTTTATCTTCATGCATACATTTTAGACCAACCTTTCTTTTTCAGGTACTTAACGTGAACTAATACTTTCTTTTTATCAGGCTTATTTATTTTGAACAAGGTGTGTGCTTGTCATACACATTATAGTCATGCATCTCAACTCTTTAGTTTCATTGTTAGTACAGAGAGTGTATTTATCTCTGAGGAAAGACTGATGAAAGCTTCTGAGGATTACTTTAGTGAAGAAAAAGGAAATCAAATAAAGCTGAAATAATAGGTTGGAGCCCATATGTATGTATCTGTTAGCACAGCATTATGATTACATATACCTGAACCTCTTCTGTCCATGAACTGTTTAGGAACCACAGCTGTGCTTCATCTTTACCTTTATTCATTAAGTATATAACATAGTATATCTGGTACATAGCAAGTATGCTATTAATATTTGATAATTTAATGAAGTAGGAAATCTTAAAACAAGTTAAAACTGTTAATGTTTCTATGACTGATGCTATAACAGCTTGAACTGTGGTGGTGGCAGAAGTTAACATTAAGAGGCAAGCTGACTATACAAAAGTGGCCAGGGTGCCCATGATTATTAGGGAATAGGCCTGTGTTATTTTAAGCATTTACTATGGCTGCGATTTGAGGGTCACACTTTTAAGTGCTCTCGTTAATCTCTGAATGGCCTTATGTTTGGCCCTGTGTTATTCTATAGAATAGCCGCAAATACTTTCAGTAGAAATGTAACACAAACTTTTGTATTCATTTATTTGGTCTCTCGGATGAGTTCTATTCATTCACTGAAAATAACCTGAAACATTACTATTGCAGGTGGAACAGAATCCATTGTTAGGGTTTGGCGCTATCGCTATTGCTGTATTGTGCTCAGGATTTGCAGGTAAATCATAAAAGTATTTTATTCTACTGTCTAATTTTAAAAATATCAAACTTTAGGCATCTAGTTTATCTTGTTTTATTGTAACTAATCATTTTATTTTCAGTAAAGCTCACCATCTTACTTATAGTTATTTACTTCTGTGTTAGCTCTTTTTCCAGTAAACACATGGTAGTATTTAACTCAGTTCAGACCTCAGTCCTTTTTCATACTTACAGCTATCTAAGAATATACTTGTCCTTGACCATCCTTAGTCCTGCCAAGAACCCAAAAGTAAATGAAAAGACCTTTGAAAATTGAGGAAGCTAGCCATCAGAAAACTTCAGTACCTCTTTTCATTTTCCTGGAACTGCCACTTCCTCAGGCCAGATTCTGCTTCTCTAGGACATTAGTCACTAGCTCAGGATCTGTTTTTCCCAGGTAGCTTCAAGTTCTTCCTTTGCTTCAACAGATTAGGATGTATGGAGTAGGGAGAAAAAACAGGCAGGGTAGAGAGTATCTCAGAAAACTCAATACATAACAGTAACAGCCAAAAACAGAGGAACAAGAACCAAAATCACTAGTATCAAATAAACAAGGAAGTCTGGAATCCTGTAGGGACAGGCAATCCTCCACTCAATCAAGAGACAGTATGTGAATGTGTAACATAAGAAACGGAATATGCTTTAGAAATAGTTCAAACAGAGAAGAAACTGAGTTTTTAGTGGAATATATTCATTATAGCTATTGTCTTGATTATTTATCTTTATTTGTGTTATTTCAAGAGTTAGGACTTTTCTTTTTGACTAGGCGAGTAGGTTGGATATGAAAGTGAAATATAGCTGGTAAAAAAGACGTTTGAAAAGAGGGGAAAATATAAATTTGGGAATATACTTAATGATAGCGTCATGCTGAACTTTTATTCTTAGTAAGTAGCAAATTAAAACAAAACTGAGTCACCCCCAAAATAATATACTATTTGATTTTTAGCATTTTGAACAATTAAATGTTTGTGTCCAACAATTCTACGTAGTTCAACTTCTCAATACACAATTGAGGAAATTATGGGAGGTTTAATACTCTCTATGCTGGAATAACTGATCACTCAGTAAGTGGTTTTCCCAGATAGGAAATTCAAAGGCAGAACTAGGAATAGCCAACATATGTTTGTTCCAATTAGCTGGCTCCTCCCAACATACATTCATTAGAAACAATCTTGTTTTTCATTAGAATTTTTTTAATGGGTTAGTACTTCAGTGGCAATTTCTGAGTCTCTAATTAACATGGTATTTATAATTAAAATCTTTAATGTCTTTGTTAAACATGTGTCCATTTTAAGTATAAAACTTACAGCGGTGACATATGAGTTTGGGGGGGGGGGAGTGGTGTCATGTGCTCTTTTGGAGTATCTGAAAAAAGCTGTGGACTTCCCAACCCCAGAAAAATGTGTTACCTACTTAGGGAGTTCTTGGTTCTTCTGACCCTGTGTATGAACTTGTCTTGGAGATCCTTGCTTTAAAGGAAATGGCTCAACTCAGCAAGTTCTATTTAAGTTTTATTTTGATTGTGTTACTGACTCTGAGAAAATCCCAAGTGGTAATTATGTGAGTTAATTTGCAAAGTTGGGAGTATTCATTACTAGGCAGATATTACAGGGGTATGATTAAGATAATTGACTCTTAATAGTATAGTCTTCCAGCTGACCGAAGTCTTTTATTGTGCTCTATCTTATTGTATAATAATGGCAGAAACTGTTCTTAATACAAATTGGTAATGTTCAGTATGCCATATCACACCAACATAATAAATGTGCATTTAATATAAAATGTTTGTTCCCCAAATCATATACTTTATATTATCGTATCTCCAGGTTACTGTTCTAAGTGAAAGACATTTTAAGTTACTTTCTAATATATTTATTTCATATTTGCATGTCTAATTTTCTTTCAGGAGTGTACTTTGAAAAAGTTGTAAAGAGTTCAGACATTTCCCTTTGGGTGAGAAACATTCAAATGTATCTATCAGGGATTGTTGTGACATTAGTTGGCGTCTACTTGTCAGATGGAGCTGAAATTAAAGAAAAAGGATTTTTCTATGGTTACACAAGTTATGTCTGGTTTGTCATCTGTAAGTATCCAGGAATTAAAGGTTCTGGGTAGAACTTTAAAAAAAAAAAAAGTTAGATGTCCATTTTAAGCCATTATAGCATTTTGAAATTGTTCCATTATACTGTGAACAACAGTCTGAAAATGTAATTTTGGTTTTACTGACTTACTTTCATGGCATAGCTGTCCCAAAGCAATTTCGCCTACTCAAGCAAAGGTAATGTGTTAGCAGTAAATGCATACAATTTAGTGGTAGAGCACACAGCCCTTTGGGTACATGGTTTTGTAGGAACTACTACTGAATTTTAGTATAAACTCAGATGGCTGCTTCTAAGAAAAACAGTATTTTCCTGGTAAATTACTATGGCATCTCTGGGGATGAAAACTGCCTTACCATCATTTTTTTGAGTGTTAAGATTTTATTTCTTTCTGTACACAAGTTCTTGCAAGTGTTGGAGGCCTCTATACTTCTGTTGTGGTCAAGTATACGGACAACATCATGAAAGGCTTTTCTGCAGCAGCAGCCATTATCCTTTCTACCATTGCTTCTGTGATGCTTTTTGGATTACAGATAAGTATGTCTTAGTTTGTATTTTTAAGTTAACATGGAAAAGCTTCTCACGTCCTTGATTTATCTTAAATGTGGCACTGGTCACCATGTTTACAGAAATTCCTAGTTGTGTTATAATTTATTCTATAAATGCAGCAGTTCACAGTTGTGTGGAACGTGGGCCAGCAATACTTAGGTTTTTTGAGAACAGTCCTAGGGCTTAAACTGAGGAGTGCTGGTTCCATGTGGGAGTGAGTGGGCTGCTTGGTTACTAGAAAAGGCTTTTTTCCAGTCATAGCCTCCCTATTACCCAAGTAATAGATGTAAGACAACCTAAGTGCTTCAGCATGAATATACTGTGATGAGGTATACAAGGAAGTAAGTACAAGGACTTTAGGAAATGATTACTTTCAGCAGTGGAATTAGAATAAAGAAGGCTTTTTATTTTGAGGGAAGAATAGAAAAATTCATTCTTTCTTCATTTAGTTTGCACCTTCCTTGCTGTTTTGGACTTAGGTGCAAACTGGTTTTGAAATTACAATTAAAATCTAAATTTTCTTTGCTCTTTATAAAGATATCTTTATTTCATTTAATATGGAATTCATACAAAGTTCATTACTATAGGCATTCTGGCACCACCACTATGCTAGTTCTTCTAATATGATTTTTCCCTAGCCCACATCCAGCATTAAGTTGGATTATATTAAAGCAGTGGTGTTGACTTAACCTTTCAGGGTGCTTTTATGCTGTAATAATTTATTTACTAATGCGTGAAGAAAATCTGTCAGATATCGACATTGAGTAAAAAGAAACAGACCTGCCTATGTTTATATTTCATTCTAAAATTGACTCGTAAATGCAAACAGAGGAATACCAACCTTATAGAAATCTTAGAAAACCATTTTATAGTATGGTTCAAATTTTGCCTATGCCATTTATTAGCTGTGAAACCTTGGGGAAGTTACTAACCTATGTCTCAAGTATGTCCATCTATAAAATAGGAATGAGAGTGTCACGTACTGCCTAGGGTTGTTTCAGGTAAAGTGCTTAGGATAGTGCCTTACACATAGCAAGTATTCTGTATAAGGCCAACCATTTAACATTTAAGTATCGGGTACTTACAGACCCTCCTTTAGATATTTTTCTTACCTGATTTGGGTGAACTTCTAATTCATCGTTATGCTCAGCAAATCCTTATGACTTTGCCCCCAAGGAATATTTGGAAACAGTACAAGATGCTTTTGGTCAATGTTCTGTCTTAAACATGGTCAAGGAAATTAATTAGACTGTCTCAGCAATCTTCCAGTTTCTTATTTAGACTTAATTTACCCCTTCCTCTTTTTTGAAGGTAAAGCTAGTCATTTCTGGTTAGGGTTGAACTAAAGTCATAGCTTGATGGCATTTCTTTACATGCAATTTTTAAAGCTATTAAGACTGTACCATTGTACTCCATATATATTGTGGTTCAGTTTTGAATGGAATATACAGTTTCAACATAAGCATCTATTTATAAAGTGACAACTGGTCAAGTTTGGACAAGTCGTAATTCAGTGGTGTCCTGATTTCCAGGATTATGATGATTAAAAAAAGATGGGCCTGCAGAAAATGGAACTTTACTTAGTAAATCACTACCTCTTCTCCATTTTTGAAATCTTCAATGGTTTCAATCATTGGTCACCTAACTCTTTGAATTTTGGTCAACTCCCTTTTGCTCTAAATTTTCATAGGTTTCTAGTATCATGGAGAAGCCACACTCCACTGCTCTTTTCTTTTAATCAGCGTATAGGGAAGTTAGTATGTTCTTTGTCAGTGGTGCAGGATAGGCATACTTGTGTTCTTGAAAAGTATACAAACAGCATGGATGGAACTGGAGAGCATTATGCTAAGTGAAATGAGACAGGCAGTGAAAGACAAATACCATATGATCTCACCTATAAGTGGAACCTAATCAACAAAACAAACAAGCAAGCAAAACATAACCAGAGACATTGAAATAAAGAAAAAACTGAACAGTAACCAGATTGAAGGGGAGAGGGGGATAATGGGGAAAAACTGGGGAAGGGTCATCAAGGAACATGTATAAAGGACCCATTGGACAAAGCCAAAGAGGGTAGGTTTGAGGATGGGAGGCAGGGATGGGTGGGGCCGGGGGGGGAGCATTTGGGGGAAAATAGAGACAACTGGACTTGAACAATAATAAAAACAAACAAACAAAAAAGTGTATAGTCAGTGATTGTCACCCCTTATTTTTCTAAAACTTACCATCATAGAATAGAACAGTTAGATGTACTTATTTTCCATATTTACCTTTCATTTCAAAATTGACTCTTGTCATAAATGCAAATAAAAGAACAATGTAAACTGATACTTGAAAGTTTTCAAGATTTTAAATTAATCATTGTTATATTAGTTTTACAGACATACATACAAATAAAATTTATTTTGTTTTCTTTTCAGCTCTTACCTTTGCACTGGGTACTCTTCTCGTTTGTGTTTCTATATATTTCTATGGATTACCCAGGCAAGACACCACATCCATCCAACAAGGAGAAACAGCTTCAAAAGAGAGAATCAGTGGTGTGTGATCTCAGCCGCAAAAGAGATTCCTACTAAGATTAAACCATTTGCATTAAACTAGAGCCTTAAATAAATCCCAAAAGGTAGCTTAAACAAAACAAGTATAACAAATTAACTGTGTGTCGGGTAAGAATTAAGAAGAAAGCTATCTGAGTGAATTGCTACAAAAGAGTAAATGTGACCTGACTGGGGTCAACCCATTTTGTTTTAGAATGAAGGAATTTTTAAATTATATATATAATGTATATAAAAAGTATGGCGATGATACGGTGTTAAAAAATCATGTGAGGCTATAATATTCAAATAACAAGGTTTGGGACAATGTTAAAGTTTAAAGTGCCAAAGCCATTTCTGTACTAACTGTTCTCTTGTTCAGGTACCAGAGAAGAAGGACAGCCCCTCCTTGTTCTCCAATTTATGTACAGTATTTTGTCCTAACAGAAGTAAAGACCTAGTTCTTTTCTTGCAAGAGAGACAAAAACAAGACAGTCTAGTCAGAACAAATTGAATGTGCACCTCCTCAAACTGAATATTTCATAACTCAGACAGTGGTGACTGTCTGGGTGGTGACCGAGTACTCCGTTAAGTGCTGTATTTGTGCCATTCATTGTCTAGAGTCATATTTCTTGGTTGTTAGATGATATACTTTTCTTCAAAAAATATTTCTAATGTCACTTTTGTACTTTTTTTATAAAGTATGTTTAGCTGTGGGGCTTTCAATAATTTGTGAAATTTCTGTGTTTTTAAAAAAATTCTATAATGTTAATGGGGAAATTCAGCAATAAACTTTATATAAAATCTGTATGGTCACTTTTTGTATTATAGATATGACAATTGAGGTAATATAAAAACATAAACTTTTAACCTCAAACATTACATTTAAAATTTCTCTATGTTGGAATTGTATTAGTTAGGGTTCTTTGGTTGCAAATAATAGCTATAAACCAACTCTGACTTGCCTTAAGCAAAAAAAGAAAAAAAAAAAAGGAGTTTATAAGGACTGTAGTCAGTGCTCTAGGGCTCCAGGTATTGTGGGGATTAGTGAACAGTCTTCTCAGGGATCTGCTTTTGGAAAGTCTTGGTTCTAACCAACACTGTCTCTGTGTCAGTTCACTAAAGAGTCAACTAGGTAGGAGGCTACTACCACAGATCTGGGAAGGAGAACTCTTCTTCAAAGAAATCGAAAGGGATATTGGACATGAACATCATGTCCCAACTGTACACTTTTATTGCATGGCTGGTTTGTGCTAAGTAAATCTTAATGATTCTTTTAGCAGAAAATTAGCATCTGGAAGCTAACACACTTAAAATTGAAACTGCATGGGTGAGTCTTTTAGGACTAAGAAGGTATACCATACTCGCTAGCATAAAACTATGTTCATTCAATTCGGGAAGCTTGGTTCATGCAAATTTTCTTCTCTATTTGTAAAAGTAGGTTGTCATTTATATTTATAAGACTTCTAGTAGCAACACTGAAAGTAAATTATAGCAGACCTGGGTGGAAATGCTGGCAGATGAGGAGAGCCATACTGATGAAACAGATCACACCCTATTTATGTTAACCTAAACAAGCCACACAAAATATACTTTACCAATATACATATAGACACATGAAGAAGAATTGGTTTGGGAAATTCCATTTCAAATTATGGTTTAACTAATTTTTACAAAAAGATCGTAATATAATACTGTACAAAAGTAATTTCTTGTTATTCAAATGTATTTACTTCCCAAGCTCACATAGCAAGAGTTACCTGTATATATATGAAAGAGAAGACAAGCACAAGGTCTGTTCTCTGGGAGTTATTAGCTGTATTGGCAAAAAAACCCTTAATATTGATCTCCCTAAATTTTTTCAGAACCAGTCACACTTAGAAGAAATTCGAGATATTTTTCAACATTACATAATCTCAGTTAGTTACAAGAATAATTTCTGGAAGAATGACACTGTAAGAAACCTCAAAGTAGAGTTTAAATTCTGATCCTTTATTCCCATTAGACCACAATGAGCTTAAAAGATTTAACTGAATTTTATAAAAGTCTATTAAGTACTTATTGACCATGAGGGGACTCAGATGATTTCTTTTTTTTTTAAAGAACCAAGATTTAATAAGTTGATAAATCACTTATAGACTTAATAATATATAGATTCTGATACAGAACAGCTTAAAATTCTACTCAGCAAGGCATATAAGAATAGATAACTAGAATTAATTTAGTATTTAAAAAGCTATTTTAATTAGAAATTACATCCTACATACAGGTGTTATTCCAAGAAGTTTCATTCCATTGGCTAGGACAGAACGGACAGCTCTGAAAAGATGAAGTCTGGCCTGCAAAATAAATCAAAGACTGATTAAATGTTCAATTCAATAATTGGCTAACTATAAAGTAAATAAATAAGAATGTTTTTAAGAGTAAATCTAACTTTTTTCTAATTTAAAGTAGAAATAATATCTCAAAGTGCCCTAGGGCTTGCTGTATGTAAGGGAATACAAATTCATATAATCCCTTGCCATAATACTGGTAGCCAAGGGTTGAGGAGTGAGTGACAGTATCGTCATACAGTACCAGCTTTGGATAAGGGGAAGCTCATTGCTGTAGTACCAGATGTAGGAAAATGTGCTTCATAGTTTAGTGTGTTGGAAAGTACATAAACATTGATTGTTACAACCCAATTCTAATTATTACCTTAGACTATTAAGTACATTGCTGTAGTTGAATAGGATGCTATTTTAGAAACATTTGCAAGACTGACTCAGTAATATCAATTTGAGGATGTTATTACAGACAACACAGTCAATGTAACTTACCCCAGCGACTTCAGGAGGACTCCCTTTTATGTGTAGTGTTTTGTGTGCTGCCGCTGCAAGATGACTGAAATGAGAAGAGGGAAATTGCGATTAGGACCAGCAGTCATTTCCTGTTATAACATACAAGCCTGATAGCTAATCTTACACTCTCAATTTAAAGATTAAAAAAAAAAAAAAATAGATAGAGCCATTAAAATGTACCAGAAGTTGGAAAGTTGAAACCAGAATTCATATTAACTCAAGTTTTAGACTTTCGTCCTGGTTCTACTAATACGAGATGGCAAGTTCTAAAGATTATGAGATCATTGTGAGTTTTACAAGAATATGAGACTTTTCTAATTATGAGTTTTTCCCTCATTTAGGCTTCCTTTATGATGGCCTGGCTTTCCCCCTCTGTATGGTGAGGAGATGAGGTAGAGACTAGTTATCAGTGTACTCTGCACACCTACTGGCCGCTCATTTTTTTATTTTTATTTTTTATTTATTGATTTTTTTTGGGGGGGTGACATCGATTTGTTGTTCCACATATTTATGCATTCATTGGTTGATTCTTGAATGTGCCCTGACCAGGGATCAGGAAGATGCTCTAACCAGCTGAGTTACCCAGCCACTCATTTTTGTTTTTATTTTTCCCATTGATTATTATTATTTTTTTAAAATCCCAGCCATTCATCTTTAAAGCATCTTTTCTAGTTAGGTATGGCAGCAAGTACATTTCTCTGACAATGTGCCAATGCTTATGACATCTGTTTCAATGATTAAGTGACATTTAATAACACTTTCTGGCTTTTTCATCTCTATATGTCTAAGTGGAATTTAAGGGAAAAAACTACTTAAATCTGGGGAAGACAAGGTAAAAAGCATAATCAAGAGAACAGTCCCAATAAATCTGATTTCAGTAAATCCTGAGTAAAAGCAAATATTTCTTAAATAGCTGTCACTACAGAAGACAGAATCAACTTCTATTCAAAATTTCTAAAATAACCACCATGAAATTCCTATCAAAGTGTCATTGACTCACTTCCCAATTCTCTACCTTCTAGCTGACTGATTTTTCTCTGCCTCTGCTTAAAACCTTTTTGTGGACCCTGCTGTCCTGCAAATAAGAGGAAATGCCTTAGTGCATGGCAAAAATGCATGTAAATGCTGCATTTCTGACTGCTCCCAAGGCTATGCTTATAGTTCTTTTCATGTATCAAGTTCTTGCTTAACTTTGGACTTTTTCCTCCTCTGCCACCTTACTTCTCATGATTAATATCTTTACCTTTCCTCCAAAAAGCCCTCTCTGATCCCTCAAGAGTGGGCTGAGTGCCCTAACCTTTTTTCTTAGACCCACTCTATGCTAACACATACGAACTGCTCTGTAACCACCTATAAGGCTGCTATTTCCTGTTCACTTGACTGTAGTGACTGTACTTTATATCACTGAGCAAATAAATGAATGAACATTAATTGCTAGTTTGCAAAAATGAGCAAGAATTCCTATAACTTAAAGCACATAATTGTTTCAGGCCTAAGGATTTGTTTATAGGAAAAGCTCAGATGAAAGAAAGGTCCTTTGTCAGATCAGGTCTTAGACGTCTCTGTAACAGCTGAAAATAGCAAGATTATAAACGTACCTTAGTGTTAGAAGGTAACTGACAATGTGTCTGGGTTGAAGGTCCTGAGATGATCTATAAAGCACTTCGTCAAACCTAAAAAAAGGTGACAGAAGCAGCTGTCAGTGGAAGATGTGCACATGTTACACTGAGCTAAGCTGTTAAGACAAAGATCTAGGATGTAAGGTTGACTTGACATCACTAAAGTTACAAGATATATGAAAAATGATCCGGTGTACAGTTGACAGTATAGGCACATTTCTCTTTCCTACAAGTTGCTTGATGGCAGGTACTTTCTACATCACCTTTTTATCCCTTAGGCTTAAGTTCATAGCAAGAACTCAAATTATGACTATTGAACTGACTGTAAAAAGCTGCTTAGTGATGCTTAGGAACATAATCTAGAAACTAGTAGTCTACTCTCCATGCCAAGAAAACTAAGCTGGCTTATTTTCCCTCATGAAATTAGCCAAAAGTGAGTAGACTAAATCCTTCTCATCCCAGGAAAGAACAACTGACCGTTATGTGGCAATCAGAGAAAACTGCCTTGTTAACCAGCTGCATCCCTTCCAGAGACTGATCTCTCATCACAAGTCTGGTTTCCCCAGCAATGTGTGAGGGAGCTCAAAGGAGAGGTCTCCTGCCCAGTATGAGGACATCAGACAAATTCATATTTGAACTGAAACCAAGAGGCAAATGAAAGACTTATGGTCTCAGGAAAGCTATGCAAAGGCAGGGGTTTTCTTTCCCTTATGACAGAGGGTGAGAGGATGATCTTTTAAAAAACTACAGTTATGCTTTTACCAGGGTTCACATTCTCATACCATGACCTGAGGATGGTAGGCACCTGGGCTAATTCAGTGGTAGTAGTTTTAAGACCTAACAATAGATCATGAGCATGCCCTCTGTGTGTGTTCAAAGGGCAATCACTTTTTGGTATCCTTTAGGAAAATGCTGGCCAGAGGTAGGAGACTGGCAGGAACTGCTACTGACCTGTTCATTCCAGTGGTCAGCAAACCACCAACAGTCATTTTGTAACTGTACCCCACAAGCCAGGCCCTCTGCTCAGCTCTCCAAGTTACATCCTCTGTTTTTCCCCCTAACAAAGCTTTATTAACCTATCCATTTCCTTTGTAGCCCTAGCTTGCTTACTGTTTAAATTGTGGGGAATAGCAAGAATGTGACAGTTCCTGGATTAATAACTTGTGCCATTTTGGTAAAACAATAGTTTCAGGAAAACTGTATTCAATAGATAACATCCAAGTTCAATGTTTCTGCTTCTTCAGAAAAAAGAATGGCCACAGGACAATAGTTAACAACCTTACTTTTCAGCAAATGATGGAAACTCAATACCACCCCTGACACATGTGGCCTTAATAGCATCTTACAATCTATGGTACTCCGTGAGACCTTATCAAGGGACCAAAGGCGACAAGAATTTACCCTAACTCCCCTTCCCTAGCTTAAAATCCCTTAACCTAGTCCAGTAGTAAATTGGTTTGAAGGCACTCTTAGGTCTCCCACCCTCTTGGTTGGCTCCTCAATCAATGAACTCCAAACACTGTTTTGTGTTTTGGCCTTTTGAAACATCGGGCACAGGAACCTGGGTTTGGTAACAATTTCACAAAGCAGAAGCTGACTCACTAGTACTAGAAAACTGTACCTGAGAAGATGCTGGAGAATTGAAACAGACTGTGGCTCTTGTAAACAAGCAGTGTTGAAGTCATTTAGATAACCACATCCAAAAGTCTCTTCCAAACTGTTATAAAAACAACAAAGAATTAAACAAGTCATCTAAGTACACATAACTGCAAGCGATGAACACCATCTCATAACACAGTCCTGCTCTCCTTAATACAGCCATGCCACGTAATGCTGGTCTGCTCCACAGATTATAATGGAGCTGAAAAACCCCTATCTCCTAGTGATGCCATAATGTTGTAGTACAACGCATTACACAAATATCATTGTGTTACAAGTGCTTACAGCATTGAGTACAGTAACATGCTGTACAAGTTTGTAGTCTGGGAGCTGTAGGAAAACAGAATCTGTTGCCCGAAAATATGTCTATTTGGCATAAGGATTATTTAGGCTGGTTAATTTTAAGAGACAGTAGACATGGGAGAAGTTCTGAAAATCAAGTAGAAGTTACCACTTGTAAAGACATTTGTAAAAGGGATCTCCATTTGTAAGGGTGTTTCCCTGCTGTACCAGGAAGATGGGGCTGACCTCATTTCTAGAAACTCTTATCACTGCAGAAGACCAGGACTTAAATCTGCAAGGGCAACCTCACCCTTCTTTGCTCTGCTTTTCCTGGTATCCTCCCATAACTGATTCCTCCCGTCCCGACATCTTTTGTCTTCAGCTGTAGATGGTATTTAAGGTGGCGGCATCAGGCATTTTCGCAAATAACTCAGTTTTTCTGGGTCTCTTCCATGTACACAGGAAGTGTTCTTAGACTTTCGTTCTTCTCCTGCCAACCTCTCTTTTAGTATAGGAATATCTCAGTCACAAACGCAGAAAGAAGGGTACAGGGAAAGTTATATTTGTTCCCCTACAGAGCAATAGGCTATGTACCATATAGCCTAGGTTTGTAGTAGGCTATACCATTTAGGTTGTGTAAGTGCATGCTGTGATGTTTACACAACCACAAAATCACCTAAGAACACATTTCTCAGACTGTATCCCTGTCACTAAGTGCAGGATGACTAGTCCTAGTCTTTGAAGCTAACATTGTTCAGCCTGATGCCTCAATTTTTCCTAAATCTATTCCTTTATCTGAAAATGGAGTATATTCTTTGGTAGCATTATTGTAAGTAGTAAATAAAGTAATATGCATAAAAACATTTCCTGTATAGGTTCTCAATAAGTAAATATTTTGAAAACTCCACAAAAAACCAACAAAACAGGTAGTCAGTCCACTGTACTTTTCTAGTTCTGAATATGAGATATATCAGAGAAGCCCAGAAAACAGGGCCCTTGGTCTTAGGATCACAGCAGCCCAACCCCACCCTGGGAAGGGCAGAGCGGTCCAGTGTTTCCCTGCAGCCTCTTCTCACCTGTGGAGGCGGGCGTGTGTGTACTGCAGGAAGACACCTGTGTCCCCACGACTCTGGAAAACACGATCCCAGCTGAACTGATAGTCAGATAAGAGTAAACCTCTGAAGTCCTAAAATGACAGAGTAAATCTTCAGTGCTGGGATTTGTTCTACTACCAAACAAAAGGGTCTCACAGGAAGCAGCCTTAACACACCTGAATAATGAGCGCTGCAAGCCCAACCTTCTCTGCAGTCTCCTGTGGGTTCTTGAGCTCTTTGGTAGCTGAAACAGACAAAGGTGGCTGTCTTTAACCTGCATGAAACTGTCCAGAGTCAGGGATTGAAGTGGAGATAAAATCTGCCAAACATGGATGCTGGCAATCTCAAGAACAGACAGGTTCACAGTGGGCTAATTTACCTTTGAAAATGACAATTCCCCTGCCTTCATTACAAGGAAAAAAATACACAAATTTATTTTTCTAATAAATATCCCTTATAAGACATTAGACTATTTTTCCAAGGGTGAAGGTTAAACAAAGCCACAGGACTTGTGACTTGTTTCTAATTACATAACCCAGGAACTTCACAGAACTACTCCCAACAATGGAGTGATAATCTGAAGCTGTCCATGAAAACAGGCCAAGGGTAATATCAACTCAGATTAGTGAACTGAACAGTACTCGAGCAGCCGGTCTGAAAATTCTGGCACCTCTAATTAGTGCAAGCTATTTTTGACAAGTTTAGTGAATGTTCAACGGGAAAATGGTCATAATAAATCAATCACACTGCACAAAAGCCTAGCAAAATATAAAGTGGTACATAAATTATGACTATAACAACAAAAAAGTGAATTCACTCTTAACAGAAGCCATGTTCTGTAGCATCCTTAATCGAATCTCATTTAAGACATCTTCCAGAAAAGTAACATCTCCTCTTCGAGTCTTCATTCCCTGTACTATGCCAAAGGGCACATGTTGGCACCTGGAATAGAGTGGGTATTTAGTTAACTGAAAACTGAAAAAGTGCTAGTGATCAAAATATAGGATAATACCATTTTAGAGAGTAGTCTGAACTTAAACACTCACAGTGAGGTTTTAAAAAATTAAGATTGAAACATGATGTGATTTGTTGTATACCACAAAAGATGTAAAACACACAGCATCATTTTAGAGATAATCACTAGCATGTGATTATATTTCTGGTTTCCCTTATGAAAAAAAGGAGATGGGGGTTAAGAATTTTGAAAATCAAGCCACTGACAGCATACATCTAATAAAAACATTTATTAATATAAGCTATGAATTAATAAAGCCAGGGCATAAATTAGCAAAAAAAAAAAAAAAAGGAAATCTGCTTTTTTACACTAACATCTTGAAACAGAGACGTTTCAGTAAAAGTCTTTTAACAACTTGGTGCATTTTTGGATTTTGCTGACCTACCAATGATCCTCAGGCAGGTAACTAAGCACCACAGACATTACCTTTTTGCCCAGTCATATCCCATGATCTGCAGCATTTGGAACACTTGCTGAAAGTGCCTTTTTTGTCCTTTATCTGTCTTTGGGGAACAAAAGCATTTAAAATAAAAGAACAGTGATAAGTTAATCTACAGAAACAGGCTGGACATGAATAAAATTAAAATATTTGCGTTCTGAGAGACTACAGTCATTGTCAATTGCTATGTTTTAAATAACACATTCAGAGGATGCCACTAGAAGTTCTAAGCTGACTGCACTAGAAGGAAGGGAGAGCTGCTGTACCCCACTAAGTAAGGAGGGCATTCAAACTTTTATATTCTGAGTATTCTATTTTAATTCCCTCTCTTAGCTGTTATGACCTTTATCTCAAAAAAGAACAAAGCTAAGCTCTAAAAAGATATTTAATGGCATTTTTTTTTTCCTTAGGAAAAAGGGAGGTTGCACATGGAAGAGAAGGAAAGGGAAGAAGAGACTAAAATACTACTCAGCAAACATATGGAACAAACTATTGATACATAGCACAGACTGGGTCGATCTCAAGGGCATTCATGATGCTGAGTAAAAAAAAGCCAGTCTCAAAAGGTCACATACTGTAAGTCCATTTGTATAATACTCCACAATGACTAAACTGTAGTGCTGGCGAACAGAGCAGTGGTTCCCAACAGTTAGTTTGGGGGAGAGGTGTGATTATTAAGCGGTTGTCATGAGGGAGTTTGTTTTGTGATAGCACAGTTCTATACCCTGAATGTGGTGATGATTGTACACATGTGATAAAATTTCACAAACACACACACACATTCGGGCCCATACACTAGTGCATATAACAACTGGCAATATTTAACTAAGGTCTTTTCCAATATCAACTTCCTGGTATGGACAAACTATTACAGTTATATATTACCTTTGGGGAAGGCTAGGTGAAGGGTATATGAAAACTCTGCCCTATTTGGAAACATCTTGTGAGTCTTAAAATATTTAAAATAGTAAGTTTTTAAAGTGCATTATAGTGACCTGTACATATTCATTTCATATAACTATTTTCCTGATTTGAATAATTTCGTTTTTACTATCAAGGAATGTGAACTCTTTCATTCTTATGTGTTTTTTTGTCACCTTAAACACACTTAGTATTGAATTCTTTCTATAGTTTGACAAAATTATTATTCCATAATTTTTCAACATGGCATCCAATTTCTAGCTTTGCAGTTTTCATGAGGAAGAGATCATAATCTTCCATTCTTCATTGTGATTACCTACCACATAAATCATTGTATCAAAATTATACTTGTTCATTCGATCTATAGCTGCTGCAAGATCTCTGAAAAAAAGGCCATAAATTAAGAGTTACTAAGCAGCTCTGGGTAATAATTTGTTTTACCTATTTAAAAGTAGTGAGGTTTCTATAATTAAGAACAACTATTATTCCACAGCCTGGGGTATATACTACCCATTCTTGTATAATCCCAATATCATACAGAAATTGCTTTGGGAAAGCAGTAATATTAATAATAAAAGTTCTGTGAAAAGATAAAAACATAAATAAGAGCTCTGGGACAAGTAGGAATAATTAAAATAGCTCTAGGCAAAGTGTCGGCACAATGTAGGATTTGTTATTAATAAAAATAAAAAGTCTACTGGAAAGAAACACCTAATTGCCACTTATTTGCAATATATTCTCTTAAAGAACATATTTAAAACATAGGTGATGCAGTAGCTAAATAGATATCTTCTAGCTCCCCTTCTGTTAGTACCATCAAGGAGTTTCGAAGTTTTGGATCGGTCATAATTAACACCTTCTAAAGAATTTTAAAAGATCATAAAGTACTTTAATAAAAATTCCATTTATCTCTTTTATCCCTGATTATGTACAAAAGACTCAGGAACTATAACTGGCAACAAAGAGAAACCCAATAAATATATTTTGAATGATGAGAACAAGATTTAGAAACTAGCATTTGGTAACAGATTTGAAGATAAAATAATTGTCTTAGCATTAATTCTAGAACAAATAACATGAAGTCACGTATACATTGTAATGGTGACTTTCACATATGATACAAACCTGGTTGCATAGAGAGAAGTTCCATCACTTCGCATTACAGTACAAATTGCAGAGGGGTCGCCATTCCCAGAAAGATCCACTACAGCTGTTCCTTTTCTAGATACGCAAAAAAGGGTAACTCTGAAGCAATATAATAAAGTAAGACCATTAAAAGTAAATATCTATAACATTATTTCTGGCAAACCAGAAGCTACTTTTATTACTTAAGTAGCAATAAGTGGTACAACCAAAAATGAAGATAGAATCTGATCATGACTTGAATAAGAGCAGGTAGATTAATTAATATTTGGTTAACTTTTCTTTTTAAAAAGTCTATCTTTAATATACCTAATTGAAAAAATGAAACATCATATTCACTTTTCAGTTCAGCAGTTCAACTATGGAACATATTTTCCTGCAAATTGCCGTTATTATGGTATTAAATATTGGGTTAGTTTTAACATGTCATAAAGTAATAAAACCATGGAATTTTGTTACTGTCTTTTGCCTGATCAAAAATTAGAATCTGTATATGGCAATCTAAAATTTTTCTTTGAGAACATTGCTGAAGATGCCATGAAATACATTCTCCATGTCTTCCTTAGGAAAATGACAAGAGAAACTGCTCTTCGGTACTATGAAAAGCAGCACTTATAAGCAATGAGTTTGCTTCTACATTGTAGATGCCTGAGCTCCTATGACTGGTGCTATTTTTCTGTTTGGTTGATGGGAAGCTCAAACCTAAATCAGAAATCTGCCTTAAGCAAGGAAACAGAATCCCTGTGTGTGCTATATGATGTTCTAATACCCCCCTGACTTCGTATTATTTTCTGTCCTCACTTCTTGATTTCCTCATTTTCCTCTTTCAAAGGTTTGTTGTATTATACCTATTTTTATGAGAAGATGTGAGTTCTATTTCCTTTTTCCAGTTATACCATTATCAGCCTGTGTGACAGGCAGGTCACGTGTACTTTCTGTTCTTCAGTTTGCTCCTGTGTAAAGAGCAGATAACATCCTTTCTCCCAACATTTCCAGAATTTTGTTATAGTAGCAAAAGACAGCTTGTGAGAAAGTACTTTGAACAGCAAAAAGCACTATTTAAAAAATGCCAGAAGGCAGCGCAGTACATTCTGTTGTTCTCACTGACACACTATATCAATACCAGTTTCAAAAAAGAACAAGTAACTTTACTAAGGAATAGTAACCTGATCATACATTGTTTTCTGCAGGAGTCCTTTACTGTCCAGCAACTTTAAGACTTCTTGAGATTTTTCACGATAAAATGATTCTCCTGAGTATTCATCAAAGTGTACTCCTAGACGCTAAAAGGGTTGAGAAACAATAGGAACAAAAAAGTTACTTAAATGTGCTATTTTCTTACCTGAGGACAAAATAGGATGCTCTACAATCTGTCACACAGATGGAGAAGGTAAGAATTAGATCAAGTCACTCCTCTGCTCTAATCTTCTAAAGGCTTCTCCCATATAAATCACGTCCCTGCAATAGTACTATGCTGTCTAACACAGTAGTACTACGCACATGTAGCTATCCAAATTCAAATAAAATAAAATAAAAACTTTAGTTTCTCAATCCCATTACTCACACTTCAAGTGCTCTGTAGCCACACAAGTCTAGTGGCTATCATATTGGACAGCACAGATACAGACCATTTCTGTCACTGCACGAAGCCAGATTGGAGAGCCCTGGAAAACATCCTACATCAGATCCCACCCTACAGCCTCTTCAACCTCCTCTCCTACTGTTCCTCATCTTGCTTACCTACTCCAGCCACATGGGCTTCCTGCCTGAAACTCTCATTACACCCACAAATAGCACACCTATTCTTTTCTTCCCCGCTTAACTTTTCTCTATAACATCATCACCATCTAACAAACTGTATGTTCTTGTTTAATTTGCACCGTCTTTGCTTAGTTCACTCTGTCTCCTTGCTATAATGAAAGTCTATGAGAAAGCTAATCTTTCTTATTTACTGTTATATTTTTCCCATGCCCTAAAATTTTTATTAAATGAATAAATTTATGCCCATATATATGGGCCTAAGGTAGCAACAGGGAAAATGACTAAGAAAAAGCAAAGGAAAGGTAGGAGAGAGAAAAGAAAAGCCAGACTGAAATGAAGTATCAGAATGTCACCAAATATTTAGTCTGTTCAGTTCACGGCCTTCAGGATTATTTCATAGCTCTAACTTTCAGCCCAAAGAACAGTATTTGAGTCCTGATTTCCAACTCAATGTCAAATCTATTCTTAAAACATGAGCTTAAGAAGCAACTCTGCTACCTAGTGGTACCAGTCAAGAGCTGCACCACATCACAGAAAAGTAGGACAGTGGACAGGTACCTTGTAAATCCGAATGTACTCTTCTATGCTCAAATCCCGAAATTTTTGCCATAGTGCAAGCGCTTGTACGTCACCCAGTTCCAATCGCTGGAAGAACTCATGTGCTGATTTTGCTACACTCTTATCATCTGCTGCTTCTTTATTAACTTGTACATAAATCTAAAAGCACAATAGTACATTAAATGAAGTATATTACCAATCACAGTTATCTTCAATAAAGGAAACAAAAAACAATCCTGAAAATTCTCATTTAAAGGTTATCCAACTGCTCTCATCACAAAATGTAACTTTTTTTTTGTCATGAGTCTTTAATGAACCCTATGGACACCTCCTCAAAATGCTTCTAAATGCATAAAGTAAAATACATATATTTACAAAATAAGTAATTACATTGAAATAGTTATCCAAAAACTTTAAAAAATTTTTGTGATATAGCAATGAAGGAAAATGCTAATTTTCTAACAGAGGTTAGTGAAAATAACATTTAATTTTTTTCTTCCCTTACATTACGAAAGCCTGGCTTAGACTGGACTAGCATGTCCTCTTCTTCTTCCTTTTTTTTAAAAATCAAATTATTATAGCTGCAACTTGTCTTAGAAAAGACTGAAGAAAGTGGATGGTTCAGTCTGACAAACAAAAGGCCAAAGGATGATTTAGCAGTTGATCCACAAAAGACCAGTAAAATGGGTGATCTAGGAAAACTTTTTGGTTAGTTAGCTTAGTTATATTCCAACTTGGGCTCATGAGAACTGTGTATAGCTCTCACTGCTGGAGTATTTTTGCACCATCTGCTTTGGCTGGTTTCGCTCTGCACCCACCCAATGACAGGAGTGAAGTTGGATAGCTTATTAAGGACTCTTCTAGTTCTAGGATTCTGTGTTTACAACACAGTTGTTAATCATTTTCCAGTCTCCAAAATCCAAGGTTAAATATCAACATTATAGCTCAAGTAGTTGTGAAGTTATGCATATGGACTGTAATGATTTTATTTATAAGTTGTAACTCCCAGACAGAAACATAAGTTTACTATCCTTGTATTTTTTCCAGAAAACTACTAGAGTAGTATGAAAGTAATAAAAATTGGCAAGTAAATTACCAAAAAAAAAGTGAGGCCTCTAAACTCTTATTAATACAATCAAAATATCATGGCAGGAGTATTTAGGTAGCAAACGCTTTGATGGAGAATACATTGGGACAACCAGAAAGTGGCTTATACCTATGAGATACTAAGAAAAAAAGGGAGAGGGCATTAAACATCTGTCTCAAGGTTAAAACGTCTCTCCTTTCCTAGATGGCTTGTGTTAATGACTGTAATGGCAGAAACGAATGAATACATATCTAAGTAAAAGTAAAAACTTCTTTAATATTTTTTTCCCTCTTTAAAGCATATTGTTCAGGAATGACTTAATATAGCAAGCCCGAGACTGGCATCCTCAAAATATTCTGTTTTGCAAGGTTAGCCCTTGACTGGCATCTGGGAACTTGGACTCTGGGAATGTTTCCACCAACCTAACTGATAAGAGTGGCTCACTGTGCCTAAACTGTTTGTGCAAACAATATGGTTTATGCTAAACATCTGCTTTCCTTCTGGGAGTTTGGAATTTTAGTACATGCTACATAGAAGGTACCTACGTGATTCTCCAGTAGAAATGTTGGGCACAGAGCACCTAATGAGCTTCCCTGGTAGACAACATTTCATGTGCACTGTCACAATTTGCTGTGGGAGGAATTAAGTGCATCCTGTGTGACTCTACTAGTTCACACTAGTTCTACTAGTAGGAAAGGACTCTTGGAAGCTTGGGCCTGGTTTCCTCCGGACTTCCCCCCATGTGCCTTTTCCCTTTGCTGATTTTGCTTTGCATCCTTTGCCGTAAAAAATAACAGCTATGAGTACAATTACACACTGAGTCCTCCTAGTGAGCCGCCGAACCTGGGAGTGGTCTTGGGAGACCTGACACACATATCATTAAAATTAATTTCCATGTGGTCCTATGAATAAGTCTAAAACAAGTCAGTTATAAGACAGAAAAAGATGATTTTGGTAAGGTGTAGGAAACTAAGAGAAACAGTAAAATTGCAAACTTCCTGACTTCTGAATGACCTATCCATTGACAACTGCTTAACACAGGCATGCCTCAAGATATTGTGGGTTCTGTTCTAGACTACTGCAAAAAGAGAGTTGCAATCTTTTTGATGGGGGAAGGTCTTATCTTCAATTTGTAAAAAAAAACAAAAACAACAAAATTACCTACAACTGTGAAGTGCAATAAAGTGAAGTGCAATTCAATGAGAGGTATGCCTCTAATCCAGCCTACAGAAGTAAGGATATAAACACGGTTTGTGATTCAAAATTAAACTAACTCTCTCTCTCTCTCTCATACACACAATTTATAAGCAAACATACACAAAATATCCTTATTTCAGAAGAGGAAAGATTTTAGTTTTTTTAAAATCTAGAACTCTAAACTGAAATATGGGAAACATTTAAAAATCTAATAAAGCATTCAAACTACTAACAGGAATATGGAAAAAACTTAAAGTCGTTTCCCTTTCTTGAAGTTCAAAATAGAAGTAATTAAAACAAAACAAAACAAAACATAAAAACCCTTTCTAATACTTTAAGAATTTTGGCATTACAGCAACTTGTAGTTATAAACCAAACAGTATTGAAAATCAACTGACACTATCAAACAGAACGACAAAAGAGCCTTAATTAGCACTTAATCTGCCTGTAAAGGCAAAATGTAAAACTATATTTATTAGCATTCATCACTGTTTTAGAAAAGAAATGCTTTTTCCTTCACAAATAAATTTAATACTATGTACTTCTGAAATTATAGACAGTTTTCATTTTACAACTACCACAAGCCTTTTACCCTTAGAAAGTATGAATTTTTGAAGATAGCTTCCTTTTGAGGCTAGATCTAGACACAAAGGGAATAAAAAGGAAATTTTAAATTTCGATTTGATAATAAGAGAGTGTGGATTAAGCAAAGTGTTTATGAAGATAGAAACACAATTTTCTTTTGGTTACTAGAATGTAAAAGCCAGTTGTTTTTCTATTAGGGAATAAACTAAATGTCTGAAACCTCCTTAAAGAAATATTAACCTTTTCTTTTCATTATTTCTAGATGTCAGAGCTGCCAAAAAACATTACATTTATTTCTAATTTACTTAATTATAGCCTGCTCTTCAGATGACCTGCTAAAGATAAAGAAATAAGAGTGAAAAATGAAAGTAGTACATAAAGCCCTCTCACTCCTTCTTCAAAGAAAATTGTTGTTAGAAACAGAGAAAGGGAGAGAGGTAGAGAGAGAAACATCAATGTGAGAGAGTAACATCGATTGGTTGTCTCCATATGTGCCCCAACCAGGAATACATGCCTGAACTGGGGACTGAACCCAAAACCTTGGTATGTCCTCTGACCAGGAATCAACCTGCAACTTTCCAGTTATGGGACAACACTCCAACCAACTGAGCCACAAAGGCCAGGGTCCTCTTATTCCTTCTTAATCCCTTAAGTTTGATTGTAAAATATCAGTAGCCACATAGGCACAGTGTATTTCCTTGGGGCAGGACTGTAGCCCCATTCCTGGTTATTTTTCCCATAAAATTCAGAGTAACTGCTAACAATGATCAGCATAACTTGGACACTAAAGACCCCTTTATCAAGTATATTTACTTGTCCTCTATCTTAAAATGCATTTAATTTTGTACTCATTTTTTAAGAAAAGAATGTGTAACTACTTCACAATTATAATTCAAACAAGCTCACTGTTAGTTTAATTGTGATGAGAAATTTCTTAGAGCTGCCAGTTGAGACAGCTTCCTTATATTGAATGAAATATTAAAGAAATTCAAACAAATTAATATTTTAATATATTAATACATCAACTAAAGTTGAAGCTTGATAGGTTAAAAAAATAACAATAATTCATTATCAAATTTCTCATTAGTATTGTACATTATAGCAGCACAGAAACAGCATTTTACCATTCACTTCTTTTAATATTTGGACTTCTATTTTTGTGATAATTACTAACTCCTTGTAGATCATCACACATTAGTACCTAATAAATACATTTCTTATGCTCAAGAAGGTGTTCTTGCACATTTCAGTGGGGTGGGATAATTACTGAGCTATTAACATGTACTCTGGCCTTGCTTGGTATTTGATCCTTGTTCTAAAAACACTCAAGAGGACGAGACCCTATAGTGCTGTCCCAGAAGAGCATGGGTTAGGGAGAAAGTTAAGTGACTTTGGGGAGGACTGTCAAGGAAGCTGCCTGGAGAGAGGGAAGAACTGTCTAGATCGAGGAGAGAATATGGGAACACTCCCAGGAACAGTACAAACTGAGCAGCCCCTGGGGCGACAGTAGGCCCTCGGAGAAAAACGGTTCACGGTGTCCCTAACAAGGAGGCTGGTCTCTAGGCCTGTGGAAATGGGCCACAGCAAGGACCTCCCAGGGGAAGCTTGTCACATAAGCAGAGCTGTGTGCCTGCAAGGTATTATGTAGACTCAGATACGTGCCTATCAGTCAAGACCAGTGTGGACTGAGGCCAAGAGGAGGCCTCCATTTCCTTCCTAGGATGCACACAGGAGCCTAGGGAACTCTGCATGATTTGGGGGGGGGGGGGGCAGGGAGGAATCCCTAGCAATGACTTACTTGACTCTCACCACTCTCAAAAATGATGGTGGGTTTCAGATTTAATTAGACTTATAAGAGCTATTTTTTGCATATAAATATTATAACAAGTAAAATTCACATCAACCATAACAATCTCCCTGAAAAAATAATGTGACCTGACCAATAAAAAAACTTTTGAATTCATTTCTTTATACAAATTTCTAACTGCATAAATAATCCTATATGTATCTAGAATTGATTCAGTCTTGAATTATTTTCTTAAGTTTGAGAAACAGTTCTGAGACTAACACCATGAAAAAATATGGTTTCTAGGGAAACAGATACCTCCTCCACATTATTAAAAACAAGAGCAAATAAGCATTACCACTCATCAAATTGGTGCTTTGATCTTGCCCTATATTTTTCACTTACTACTCTTTTTTTTTCCCCTTTGCTACTGATGTAGAAAAACTCAGGGTCCAATCTCTTATAGACTATTACCTAATAATACATTATCCGCTGACTTTCTGT